ACCCTAGGCCTTTGGGTTAAACTAAGAAAAAGTCGCTAAATTGTGTAAACAAATATGATCCTATGACCTTGAAAGTGGTTCAAAGTCATTTTTTGAACACACTTAATAACCATTTATAAACATGTTACAGGCTAAACATTATCGTTCCAAGTCTCTTGGCTATTCTAGATGGCTGCCTGTTGGCCATGTTGTTTATTCGATCAGTCTCAAAAGTTGCCTTGCACGGCTAAGGACCAAGGGGAACCTACATATCAAATTTGAGAAAGATCCCTCTGGTACTTCCCGAAAAATAGCGATAACAAACTTTCACTATCAAAATGCAAGATGGCTGCCTGTCGGCCATGTTGTTTATTCGATCAGTCTTAAAAGTTGCCCTGCACAGCTATGGACCACGGGTAACCTACATATCAAATTTGAGAAAGATCCCTCTGGTACTTCTTGAGAAATAGCGATAACAAACTTTCACTATCAAAATCCAAGATGGCTACCTGTCGGCCATGTTGTTTATCCGATCAGTCTCAAAAGTTGCCCTGCACAGCTTAGGACCAAGGGGAACCTACATAGCAAATTTGAGAAATATCCCTCTGGTACTTCTTGAGAAATACCAATATCAAGAATTGTTTAAGGACGGACGGCGGACGGCGGACGGACCACGGACACAGGCCTAGGGTGATTTAAATGAGATGATGGTGGGCTAAAAATACAAAATCAGATTTTAGATAAACTTTGAATTATTTAATCAATAAATTAATCCAATAACAATTCAGTCTTACAAACCATGCAAAAACAAATTCATCATGCATTCAGATTTACAAAGACTCACGTTTTTGGTGTAGAAATATTAGACAGGTTGAATAATTTAATGATGAAGCAAAATATACATTTCACACTCACGCTCAATATGATTCGGAGTAGGATCCCGAGTATTATAGGCATAGAAACGCTGCTATTTGAAAAATACACAGGTATTAAAGGTGTCAATTTTCCTGTATCAATGATGTTTTAAATGTTTCATAAATAACACTAGACTGGCCCCCTTCTCTAGAATATTGAATAATTAACATTCAACTCTAATAATTTTGATCACTTGGATGTTCTTACCTAGGGGGAGATAAGATAGTAGTAAAATGCTATCGAGAAATTCTTCATAAAAACTTTGGGGTGGTAGCCAGTCTAAAATAACACCAGTGCAAGAAAATTCTAAATTGACAAAATAATAAACAAGATAACCATGGGCTTCAAGTCACCGGAGTGTATGTATCACATGTTAACATGGCACAGAAATAGATGTCTGGACAGAAAACTGGTGAACAATTTATTATTGTTATCATTGTAATAATATTTGAATTAAATATTGTAAAAACACACAGGAATAAGTACTCAGATGTGTATTTTGCACTGAAACAAAATAATGTATTGGTCAGATTGCCCCCCTAAAACCCCCCAATAAACCTAGATTAAATTTTGCCAGGCCCCTAGTTAGATTATTGTTACCCCAGTTATAAATGATAATGTTAAAAGCTATAAGAGTTATCTCCCTTACATCTTTGTTTAACCCAAAAGAGATTTCATGTAAAAAAAAATATATGCCTTATCTTTGGTACTGAAAAAATAGGCATAAAATTCATCATCATCTTTACATAACGACTTTGATCTTAGACTTTTTGCCAATTTGCCTATTCTCACTTTTTACTTTACCATGTGTATACCGAGGAATTTGCATAACTGAATTCTAGACTCTTTACCTAAAAATAGGATGTTTCAGTGCTTTTTGATACAGATTAAAAAATGCTGAAAAAAGACATAAAGGATTGAACTGTTACTCTCTGTGGTACATGTATATTGCATTGTTCAATAAATTATGTATATAAATTGAAATTGTATAAATATATATTCACTTTTCAAATATTACATATACATGTATAAGCAACCTTACCTAAAATATCTTTGAACTAGATATGTTTCAACTTCAAGAAGCACTGAATTTCATTAATCAGTATCACTGATAACCCAACAGGTCTTCTTAAGTACCGGTAGTTGAAATGCCTCCACCAATCAGACGCTATGGTACTTTTAGTTATATACCTTCAAGTAACCAGGGCCACAGACTTTTCGGCATCAAGATGTCTCAATACTTGTACAAGACATTGTGGTACATCCCAAAAGTTAATTTCAATATTTTCATACTTGCCAACTCTCCCGATTTTGGAGGGAGACTCCCGATTTTGACAATAAAATTGAGCATTTTCAACCAGTGAATTTGCTTAACTATTCTTATATTCTAACATCTAATGATTTCATCTGAAAGAACAGCTCAAAAGATGCCATTTAAAATTGTTGTTTTTCCCCTAGGTTGTACATCCACATATTTTATTTATGCTTTTAATTCTGAGCACGCGTAATCTCCCCCATGGAGCATGTGTAATCTCCCCCATGGAGCACGCGTAATCTCCCCCATGGAGCACGCGTAATCACGCGTAATCTCCCCCATGGAGCATGCGTAATCACGCGTAATCTCCCCATGGAGCACGCATTATCACGCATAATCTCCCCCATGGAGCACGCGTAATCACGCGTAATCTCCCCCATGGAGCACGCATAATCTCCCCCATGGAGCACGCGTAATCACGCGTAATCTCCCCATGGAGCACGCGTTATCACGCGTAATCTCCCCCATGGAGCATGCGTAAGCTCCCCCATGGAGCACGCGTAATCTCCCCCATGGAGCACGCATAATCTCCCCCATGGAGCACGCGTAATCACGCGTAATCTCCCCATGGAGCACGCGTTATCACGCGTAATCTCCCCCATGGAGCATGCGTAATCTCCCCCATGGAGCATGCGTAATCTCCCCCATGGAGCACGCATAATCTCCCCCATGGAGCACGCGTAATCTCCCCCATGGAGCACGCGTAATCTCATGGAGCATGCGTAATCTTCCCCATGGAGCACGCGTAATTTCCCCCATGGAAATTTCAAAAAGTTGGCAAGGCTGTATTTTATAAAGATTTCCAGCACTTTGACTAATGTTTCAACCTGGCACCTACATGTAGCTTGTTTACTTTGTACCTACATGTAGCTTGTTTGCTTTGTACCTACATGTAGCTTGTTTACTTTGTTCCTACATGTAGCTTGTTTACTTTGTACCTACATGTAGCTTGTTTACTTAGTTCCTACATGTAGCTTGTTTACTTTTTGTTTTCGTATGTCATTGAATTCATCTTTCATGATCCTTTATAATTTTTACTTTTTTTCTGGTATCCAAACTACAGCATATCAAAACATCTAGAAATCTTGTAAAATCAACACAATAATTTACAACATTCCTTTCAAGGTTGTCTAAATTCTGGGAGTATACAAATTAAATATGTCTTGTCATTCAGAGGCTATGATATCACAGTGTCCTACTTGATTGACATAGAAATCATCATTATTAAAGAAAACTGACTCATGGTAGAGATTTGTGTGTCTACTTTGTACAGTTTAAAATGCCTAACATATGGGAACCTGTGATTTTCAAACCCAGTAACAACCTTCTTTCGGGGGCTACAAAACTAACTTTATGAAACTGATGCCATGAAAAAGATAAACACCAGGGGGTAGATTATCTTCTAAAATATAATAAATGAAGTAATACATGTATCAAAATTGAAAAGGGAAATGATACAGCACACATTTAATTGCCTACAGTGTTTTTGTGCATACAACACATTATCCGCTTCCCTGGTGTATGTCATGACAAAATTGAAGCCACCTTTATACACAGATGACACCAGTTGACAAGTCTGGATACTCTTACAGAATCCTGTAGACCTGTGATCTTTTTGATACAAGATAAAAGTCAGTTTCTGCTTAAAACCTATTGACTGTCTTTGATTTGAATGTAGGTTCTCTGTTATCTTCAAAGGATTGTCTAGCAATTGGTCAGGGTCTTTTGTATTTAAAACTAATCAAATGGCTAACTATGAGCCTTCAATTATGTCATGATATCTTCGAAGGGTGTACAGAAAATATGTTAATCAATTGCATAACACTTAAATTTCGAAGACGATGCTTACAACTTTTCATTTTTTTCTATGATTGAGGCGCGGTACGTGTGGCAAAATGATAAAATATATGATAATGTATATGTACAGACACGAACCCTTCTTTTAGAATTCAACGGTGTGATGGATTTCTGAGCTGTTTTAATCAAGGAAACAATTGAATCTGAGCAAAGATTTTGTTTAGATTTAAAAACAAAAAAAATCATGACAAAATTGGATGTCTCACTAAAATAAAGAGACTAGGAAAATATGGATCAGGCCAAACAAATGTAATTGTGTTTCCACTATCATCCTCAGAAAAAATAAGGTAGGTAGGCATTTTTTTTATTTTGGAAAATATTTTTACTATGCTTATATAGAGCAGGAGTTCTCACTTTAACAGTGCATATCATTAAATGCCAATATAATCTTTAGGGTAGGCACAAAAATCTAGACAGTAGTTTTAGTATGTACCTAAATTTACAACAGCTCTATGAATTAGGAAAACATAGCACTGAAATTGGGATTATATTTCTCAGTTTTTGGTCATTTTGAGGAAATAAGGCACTTTTTGGCTCAGGGAGACGGACTGTATTGGGCTATAAAACTGAGCAAAAAATAAATCATTGCTAGGGTACTAGGTAGCGTTAGCGGAAACACAAGATTTTTTTATTTGGCCTAATTAAAAGGTATATAAAGAGGATCTGTCATAAGTTTCCCTTCATATTAGATTCATGATACAAGTTGTGGATTTTTCATGTTTGCGATACCCTGGCGAGCAAATATGAAAAATACAAAACGAGTATCATATATCTAATAAGAAGAGATTCTTTTTATCATATAATATTAAATTAACTGTATAATTGTGATCTGAAACGAATATTTTGCACGTGGATGCCTCTGAAACATTGATTGTTCCTATTTAATTTTGACGTAATTTCCGGAGTGATATTACACGTTACATAAACATAATTTATGTGATGGCTTTATGACACTGCATAACACGGTATTCATATGATAAATAAAAATATTAAACACTTTAAGTGATTTACAGCTGTGCATATTATTGAGTGTCACATACAAATATATCTAAACCATGTGTCTTGTTAAATGGGGTATCCATTTTCTAAAGCCGTTGAACACAATGAACACCGTCAGTGTGAGATTGTTGTCATGTTGAAGGTAAATCTGCTGTGATTACTCTTAATGTACTGTGATACACAAAGGTTTTCCCTGCCAAATCAGCGTAGTCAAGTCTTTTTGGGTTAGCAGATTCAATTTCGACACAAATTGATTCAGGCTGATTCTGTGTGTTTTTACCGTTGGAATTTTCGTTTTCACTTTGGTCAGTTGCAGAACATGTATCGTCATTGTCAGGGACTTCATACATGTACATGCATCCACGATCACTTTGATTTTCATCACATTCACATTGATCTTCTAGGTCTTTATCTTCACATTCCTGAGCATCGTTTTCCGATTCAGCTTCCTCATTTGTGCTCTCACTTTCATTTTTCTCATCCCCCTCTTCACTGCTGTCATTTTCTAACACATCTTTCAACAGTAGACTATTTTGAAACTCAAGAATATCTTTCAAATGATTCACGACAAAATGTTTGCCCGTTATGTTTGAGATCCAAGGGAGGCGACTCCCAACTTGAGTTAGAATTTCTGTGAGTTCCTTTAAGCGAACCCTCCAGATTGAAGTAAATATGAACTTATGCTTCTTGGCAAATTGTTTTAAGGAGCACTTGCTGTATTCAATGAAGTTCATTGAACCCCAGGCCAGAAAAGCCGCTAGTCCTATGGTGACGTCTCTGTGTGGGCTACACGAAGTCCGTTTTCGTTCGTATAATTTCAAGATATCCTTAACCATGCTAAAGCATTCTCCGTTGAATACTGGATCTGATAAGTGGTAAGTGATGAGAGAAGCTATGCTCTGATATTGAATGTCAATATGTAGTTTAGTAATCAATTTATGATAAAGTTTAGCTACATCAGACACTGGCTGTCTTGTAATAGCACAGAACTCTTTAATGGTGACGGGGAAATTGAACTGACGCCCGGTGATGTAAACACAGCAGTGACTGAGCATGTTTTTGTTGAAGGAATGCATTCGTTTAAATTCACCATATGCATATGCTCGGTCAAACAAGTTATTTGCTGCTTCAATCATTGCATAACTATATGTTAACTTTGCACATAAGCTTCGCATTTTAGCTTTGCATTGTCTTACAGCAGGTCGGTCCTGTTTGCTTTTGAGATGTCCTGCATGCGCTGGAAGCAATGTGTTTAAGAAAGCAGGGTTCTGGTAGCCAAAGCTGTTTTCTGATAAAAACGTCTGCTCTGAATGAAGAGTTCCACAGTTAATGCAGACAGTTCCACCTCCTTCTTTTATTACAGAACTCTCTCCACATACTGTACACTTCTGACCAGACATGGCTCTGTAACAGAAAAATAAACTTTATATAATTTCTATTTTGTTCAGCAGGTTGGAAGCAACCTGTAAAGATAGGGGAAAAACCCTGTTCATTCAGTAAAACCTCTGTTTTTTTTCTTTCTTTCTTGGATAAATGATTCAAGAAAACAGTTCTATGGGAGTTCCATAACTTTTGGTTTGCTTTTTTGTTGTTGTCTAAGTCATACACATATTATACAGTTGATTCAGTTTCATGTAAAATTTAACTTTATACGGATGGTTGTCTGATTATAGTGCACATTCTAAAATCAACAGCAATGTCCTCTTCGTTAGGACTTGGGAAGCTACATAGATTACTTGTCCAGTATACTGCCATTTCCGAACCCCTTTACTGAATTGGTAGTTTTCTTCTGATTTGGGGATATTGGAGAAACGATAACCGATATAATGGTGTCAATACTTTTCCTTTCTCTCTTTTCTCCCCGTGGTGTTTCTCTAATTAAGCAGGGGTGGAATTAACCGCTGGTCCACTGGTTGAAAACCTTTATTTAAAGCCCAGTCATAATGATACACCACAGAGCTTCTAGATTTCAAAATATTCTGGGGAAATTTTATGCATACCCCACTTGTATCGAGCAACTTTGGTGCTCACTCGACCTCTGGCCCTCGTTTTCTGAAACAGTGCGTGCATTGCACTTCAAACAGGACCAGTGCATTTTTTTCTTCAACTAGACCTTTTGGTCAGTAACCTTTTTTTTTATAATTCCACCCTTGGTTAAGCTAATCTTTATAATGATGTGACTTGTAATAAGTGGAGTGCCATGCTACTGTGCCCGGATTATGATATTTCAGCCAGACCTGGCACTGTTAAGGGGCATTAGAGACAAATTGAGTGGCCCAATCATCTGTGGATATTGTATACGTACATGTCGTCAAAACTCAACAAACAATTTACCCCCAAACCGTCAAACTTGCCTCTATCTGACACTCTTCCTTGTATCCAATCCCTCGCTGTCAAGCACAAGTTAACTGTCACAAAGAACTCTTCTTGCCAAATACTATACTGTACCTGACTGGAATTAACTGCCTCTTATAGGCTAGTGTACATTTTAAAACTCATGAACTATAAGCTTAAATGAAGTCGAAAGACTTTTAAGAGGTCAGGTTCGATAACAGGTGAAAACATTTTTTTTTTAAATTAGAACTAGAAGAACAGGTCATGACCAAGTTCGGCATCATGTTTTGTTTTTACCTTTCCTTTCCTTTTATCTTTCATTAGCTATTGAACTCCGTCATATCACAGCCAATGGCAAAAACGTCCCACTTTCGTTTTGTGTATAACTGTATTGGTTTACGTAGCTTCATTTCGATGACTAACGATTAAATGTTTTAGGATAAACAGTGTTAGCTCGACGCTTTGTAATATCCTTTGGAATCAAACAACACGAGGCATTGCACTAGAGTAGTACTAATTGCAAACATCCAATGAGAGTCCGATACGGACCGTTAGCGACAGAAAGAGGACGCCTTTTAAAAACGAGAATATGCAGCAAAGCTGCTGGACACCAAATATTTTTTATGAAAATGACTGACTGACAGCATCCAACAACCTCGAGGAAACGGATCCTACATACTTGAATTTATTTGATTAATATGACTCAGGCATGGCCTGGAGAGAGCGAAGCTCGTACTGTCCATTTGTTTCAATACATTTAATTTTTGAATCATTACATACATTTTAATACATAAAAAATGTCTTACCTGTAGTTGGGTTTATAAAAATAATGGAATCTGTTCAGTTGCTGGGCAAAATCATCCATCCTTGTACTTCTTCAAAGTTGTTGTGTTTGATCTGTTTTAGTATGATCATCATTCATACTCCACTAATAGGATGCATCAAATGTTTTTTTGAAGTTGACTGGTATGTACAGTACTACTAGACCATGTATTGAAAGTAATATCCAGGAATACCAGTTAGTGTATATATCCCCTCCCTGTAATAATGTATGTTCATTATAATAATAATGATATGTATTATTATTTTTATCCAAAAGTTTAAAAGAAACAGATGTAATTTAAAAGAAAAAAAAGATTTTCATAGGGTAAATATGATAATGTGAGTTGTAGGCAGAATGTTAAAAACAAATGGTTTGAGCTGATATATGCCAATCCATGAAGCATGTATTTGTATTTTATTCCGAACAACAATATGTTTAACATGTCAGAAACAGCAGGTTAGAGACTGTCACGTCTCCCACCACTATACATTAAAAGATTTTAGATTTTTCTTTCTAAAAATTTAGATAATCCATGTGAAATGATGAAATTTAATGTTTGTACTGATTATAAACGTTTGAAATCCCAGGTATCTACAGCAGGAGATTCCTCCTCTTCATCATCGCTGTTGCAGTGAAGTTTTTGTAGATACCTAGAGATGGATTGGCATATAAGCTCAAACCATTTGTTTGCAAGTGAAGTTTCAGGATGGACACCATCGTATAACTTAGTGTAATCATACTTTGTGATTTTTTTGCGATTTTGATCATGTTTTCCTCGATGTTTGATTGATACCCTTATTATGTCATTGTCAAATTTGATGGTCGAAAGATTGTGTGCTGTGTTGTGTTCAGTGATGATTGTGTTGATGGAATTTATGTCAGTTTCAAGATTGACTTGCTGTGCCCGAGTCAATATTGGTGTTAAATGTGGTTGAATAAGGCGTCCTTTGTGCATTTGAAAGTTATTGTACATTGCCAAATGTGCTGGTGGAATTGTAGTGACTTGTATGCTGGTATTTTCATTTGAAATTTGATAAAATTTGTCTAACTCCTTTTGTGTTTTTTCAAATTTACTGGATCCGTATGTTACTTCCACCCACCCAAAATGACTAGGTTTTTTTTCTGTAAAATTACATATCCCTGCAAATACAAGTATGTGATTTATATCATTTGCTGGTACTTTTGTCTCTTGTTGCAATGTTGAAAATGTTGCCCGGGCCTAAAAATATATGTGACATTGCAATGTGGATGATACCTTTCTTGGAAGCATTGCAGACCTCTGCCTCTCGAATCAGTTGCATGCAATTATAAGATGTACCATTCTACAATGATTAAGTTAATTGATACTGATGAGAAGAACATATGAAGAAATGGACAATGTGAAAGTCAGAAGTGTGTAGACAATGTTGTACCTGGTGATACTCTAAAAGCATAATAACTCAAAGGACGCTTCAACCTACATTTTGTACCATTCCCCTCCAGTAACTGGATTTTGTAATAGATGGGTAATGTGCTAAAGCAAGTTCATTTGCCCATGTATCCCAGTTTTGGTAGATTTGTGTACAAATTTGCTTTCTGAAATTTTCAGTATTTGAGAAATCAATATTGAATGATAAACTTAGACAGTGGAAAAAACAGTTGCCATCACTAGGTACATCATATGCAGAATAGTTTTGATTTTCAATAGAAATGGTTGCTGATGGTCGGACCCATATTATGCATTCTGTTAAACACAAAGTAAAAGTGGTGAAAATGGTATGTGTCTAAGTCTTCCTTAATGATATTCTTAAAGCAGAGCAAGTAATGACCCTTTGAAAAACCTTACGTTTCCCGTTTAAAGCTGCCGGTGATTCCTTTGCACATGTCATGTGTATCTGTGTACAACTGCAGCAGACGACCCGTGAAATTTGACCTCATCAATGATCTGACCATATCATCCAATGAGAATCAAGCGACCTCTTCAGTGACCCTGCTTCGTACATACTCGGGCATTTCCGTCCTAGTGGGGGATGACATCTGTGTGTTACGGTGTGTGTACAGACGGAAAATTGTATGTTAAGAAAGATGTTAGTATCACATTATTTATTGCTTTCCCAAATTTACAATATAATCACATTATTACGCACCCTTCGACGCTATGTGTTTGTGACATTAATTTTTGTTTCGTTCAACCGCAGACGATAAGAGTCTGGTTGAGCGAGACTACATTAATGTAGCCTTTTGATGACCATGCTAACTCATTTTCTCGATTCGGAAGAAAAGTAAAGAAATTGTGGAAATAAACTCGCTCAGTGTTCTGAATATGGTCAATATCTTTTTTGAATATGGTCAGTATTTTTTGAAAAAATCGTAGTTTCGAATACATCATTTCTGTGCTACGTTACATGTCGCTCTATTATTCGATTAGGCATATTTACGGGCTCCATGAAACCGGAAGAGATCACCGGAAGTACGAAAAAATTTCTAGGCTGTAGCTGTACGATTCAGTGATGGAATCAGTTTGGTTGGATCAGATCTATTTACACGCACATGTTACCGGTAAAGAGCTTCGCACGGGTGCCTTTGGCACCCGTGAGCTTAGCTCTTATAATTATTTTACAAATTGTTTATGGCATTAATTTTGCATTTAGCAACGATTCGGTAATAACGTCATCTTCGGAGAAAGAGAAGCAGCGATTATTACACCTATTTCTATTGAAAATTTAGGCCTACTTCTGCATAAAATATCAACCGTCTTGACGTCTTCTGGATTAAAGCGTCAATCGTAGCCGACCTTCCCCCTCCCCCTTGAATAATATAGTTATTACTTCTCAAGACTGTTACGAAGAAACATTTTGCCACAACGCTGTTTTTGTTAGGTTGTTATCACATATTCGTTTTATACAAGTGAAATAATTAATTCGTATTGAACTGGAAAACCATGAAATTTTCTATTTCTTACACTTTTTCACGTCACGCCACACAAATATTGCTACACCAGAAAAGCGCGGGAATGTGTAGCGTATTTTTTACTCCAAGTTAATTGTTATGACGTCACGCTTGACAACAATACAGAGTACAATTTTTAATGGGTTTTTACTGCAATTTTAACGTTTGCTGAGATTATCTGGTAAGATTTCCTGACAAAAATGATATTAATAGTGTAGTTAGGTAAAAAAATGTATGCTGCATACATATGTAGGTGCATGGGACACTCGGCCACTAATTCTGCTGTCACTTCATCTAAGGTTGAAACTGAAAATCTACGCTGTGAATAGAATGTACCGTTCTGATTGGACGACGAGTGACTGAGAGTGACGTCTTCACATGTGATAAAATATTGTGTGTGTGGGGGGGTGGGGGGGGGATTATTTCATATTATCTTGTAATCTGAATATTTTTGTCTTCTATACCTTTTTCAACTATCTTGATAAATTCAAACAAGATTATTGTATTTTGTGTTATCGGGAAATGCTTTATTAGTTTTTTGCATTATTCAATAAAATATGTTTGAGTATGTCGTATGTTAATTTGACATTTACAAAATATAAAACTACCTTGGTCATCTATTCATCACTTACCAGGGACAGAAGATAACAACGTTTTGACGTTTTTCAAATCTGCCACCAACTACACATTTGTAATGTAGTTTATTGACGAATGGAGAGATTAACGTTGCCATGGTGGTGAGGTTGATATATGTATTTAAAACTAATCAAATGGCTAACTATGAGCCTTCAATTTTGTCATGCTATCTTCGAAGGGTGTACAGAAAATATGTTAATCAATTGCATAACACTTAAATTTCGAAGACGATGCATATGTAGACATAGTTTCTGTACACCGTTATTATTTCATTCAGGTGAAAGAAAAGGCTATCATCAAAACAGAACATAAGACATCATATTAGAACTCGCTGGAACATTATTGTAATGTAATGATTGATACATATACATATCACGGGTTTGTTTGGTAATTAAAAAAAACACAAAAAAAAAACAATCCGAAATATTACAGGTTTTTATTAAGAAATAATGAACTTTTCTGTATTAATTATGGTTGTTATTTTTCATAAAATCATATGAAGCGATGAATTAAGATCATGACAAGTATTGTATGTAGAGTCTCCCTTCAACTGCTATCCTGACGGGCACCTATATATGCTAGGGGAAATAACTCGAACTGAAACTTAAAGACAGTACCGGTCTGTTTCTCTAATTTGAATTCTGACCCCAAGCTCTTCTCTCTTTCTTCTTTCTTCTAGTTTATACATTATAAAGTATATTCATATGTATACATGAAACTTCTTGATTTGATGTTTACATTTGTATACACGTGTACAAAAATATGTATGGTTCAAAACACAGGGACCCGATAATTCGTTACAGCTATATTTGCACCATCTTTGCTAGCGAAGTGTTCATTTCGTATACGCTCCATTTACTTAAATTACGTGGAGTGTAAATGAAGCGAAGACCTGGCTAACGAAGATGTATTTGGACCTAAACTAAGATATTTAGAATAATTTTACACGTTTGAGGGGTTTTAACGTCTTTCGGTAAAAATGCCATCCCCGAACCTCTATAAGGAAATATATGTGTATTGTCTACTGAAACTG